ATTGACCTTTACATGTAGAAAGCCCTTCATTCACTCCATAACCCATTCAGTAAAGGCTGATTGAGTAGGTATTCTTGATTTGGGACTTCACATTAGACCTACTTGGATTTGCACATGTTAAATTTTGTCTTAACATCAGGTAGTGCCGTTGGCTGGATTCTTATAACATGCTGAGCCACAAAAAGCACTAACCAAGTTTTTAAAATTACTATGGTGCTGTAAGAATACCACCAAACTGGGCCTGAATGCAGTCTCAAATCCAGAGGAAGTGTGTTGAAAAGTATATAGCAATAACAGAATTGGAAGGGACCTTGGAGATCTTCTAGTCCATCCTCCTGCAGGAAATCCTATACAATTTCAGACACATGGTTGTCCAATCTCTTCTTAAAAATTTCCAGGGTTGGAGTACCCACAAATTTTGGAGGCAAGCCATTGCACTCATTAATTGTTCTCACTGTCAAGAAATTGAGTTCTGGAGAACCCACTTAATTAGTTAGTTAAACTTAGTTCTAGGTTGCTTCTCTTCATTGCCTTTGGAGAATAGGTTGATTCCCCTCCTTTTTGTGGCAATCCCACAGCTATTTGAAACACTGCTATCATGTCATCCCCTAGTCCTTTTTTCCCCATTAAACTAGATATACTCAATTCCTGCAATCATTCTTTGTATGTTTTAGCCTCCAATCCCCAAATCATCTTTGTTGCTCTTCTCTATCTCCCATTAACATCTCTACAACAGCTGTGTGCCCGTATGCACAAAGTACATGTATATGAAATATTCTCTAGAGAATTGAACAGCACATAGAAGAGTACACTGTATAAGGTTCATATTTATAAAATCACTTCTGAATTAATTATTTTGCTTTAATGGCTCAACTATTCCAAGTCCAGATGAAATATATATAACTGTAACCTAAGGTACTTAAGCATATCTTTCAACACTTGGTAAACAGGCATTTAAAAAGTAGTTTACATATTGCCTTAATTTGATCACAGAAATTATCTGAAGTCACCGGTGAATCATGCAGAAACAGAAAACTATAGAAAAAACTCAGAATGAAACAAAAGTTCCAACATGAATGTACTGACAGTTGTCAAAAGTATTGTGTGGATTTATCATCACTCCCTCCCACCGTTTATTCTGCTATCTATCTGAAAAAGCTAGCTTTTAAAGATGCTCCAACATTTCATCAGCTGGATAGATTGATTCTAATTAATCAATTTGATTAATTGACTTAAAACTGCTAACAACCCCTCCCTTCCTGGAGAAATAGACCTATTTGGTTTTTTTAAAAAAAGCATACTCAATGCAAGCACATACCAGATCATAAGCAGCAATCCTTTATGTGTGAGAAGCTGGAATTTTTCTACAATAGTAATGTTCTGTTTGTCACACCCACACAGATACTATCTAAAAAGAACCCAACCTCTTTGTTTCATAGAAATGTTTTCCCTCCCCCATATGTAGGTTTAAGTAATTATTCAGCAGAAATTCAGATTATTGACTAAAACGTCTTTAATTAGTTATTTAGGCAGAAGCGTTTGCCTTTCTATCTTTATTTCCTTATATAAAGCTACAATTTGAGCCAGAGCATGCAAAATATAACCAATCCTACAAATCTATTTTACTTCTGGGTTCAATGCTAGCAACATTCTTGAAATCAGTCTAAATCTGACACTGATAAAAAGAAATGGTCTTGAGTATATGTGGGCTTCCTCCCTTATTCTATTGCATTACTATAAAAAATGTTTCCTTAACAAATGGGATGTGTATATTTGCTTGTGTCTTCTTCTGATTATTATGTGATTATCGTCACCTCCCAAAAGGAAAAGTAAACACCCTGGATGTATGTAGGTCATTAAAAACAGTATAGCCCTTTTCTGCCTCAATGAAAACTTATTTTGTTAAAGGAAAGCAACGCTCCAATTAATATTGTTTCTTTTAACATTGGCTTTGTCCTAAACATTCTTCAGGAATGTTTACAAGGCTCTCAAGGCATCCAACCCTCCTTTTCTTCCTTTCTGCCTTCAGATTCTCAAAAAAGCCCAGCTCCAGATGCAAAATGATCAACAAGGAAAAAAAAAAGTGGAACTAGTGCTGAAAATGCAGATCTTGGTTTTAAAAGCTGTTTCCCATCCTTCAGCATCTCCCAAATGACACGTGTCACTTGCAAGTCGCTGGTTTCTTCCCTCTGCTCACATCAAAACCCTCTGCGCACATCCATCTTTTGACAACCAAGAGTTTCTTTTTATTTTGAAAACACTGATTTTCCTCCAGGTTGTGTCATAAGTGCCCTTGCTTAACTAATCTAGCTTGCTTTCTTAAAGCAACGCTTAAATCAGAGATCTTCAAACTTGGCAACTTTAAGACTTGTGGACTTCAACTCCCAGAATTCAGAGCTGGCTGGAGAATTCTGAGAGTTGAATTCCACGAGTCTTAAAGTTGCCAAGTTTAAGGATCCCTGGCTTAAATGATTGATATGTTCAGAAGGGAAAGAAAGGCCTTTAAAACTACAACGCTTGCAAGTTAACTGACTTGCAAAAACAATGGTTGCTTTGCATCCCTTCTGCCTCGCGTATCTTACCATGCATCCTCTTCCTTTTCAGCTGGGACTCGCAGGAAATGCCGCGTGCAAAGAGCAGGAAGCATGGTTTCAATGCTACTTCAAACTTTAATAAATCTTGGCTTTTTCCAGAGGAAAATTAGAACATCCTGGATTAAATTGTACCCTCTCCCCTCTCACACACACACATCATCCCCCCCCCCTCTTCCTATCGCTTATTATAGGAATGCAACTTTCCAAGTGGTCCAAGCAACCTCCAACATTTCATTAAGCAATGTGGTGGATAATGAACTGGACTTAGATCAGGGTGATCTAATGAGGTGATCATGGGGTGATCAGCGTCTCGCTGTGAGACTTTGGGCCAGTTAACTTCCCAGCACCAACCTACTTCAAAGGTTTGAGCCATGGTGGTGCAGTGGTTAGAGTGCAGTACTGCAGGCTACTTCTGCTGACTGCCAGCTGCCTGCAATTTGGCAGTTCGAATCTCACCAGGCTCAAGGTTGACTCAGCCTTCCAAGGTGGGTAAAATAAGGACCCAGATTGTTGACGGCAAGAGGCTGACTCTGTAAACCGCTTAGAAAGGGCTGTAAAACACTGAAGCGGTATATAAGTGTATTGCTATTGCTAATTATGCAAAAAGATTCTTCAGTTTGAATCAGCATCAGTTGCACTCACAATAATTTGCCAGAGAAGGGTACACACAGTGCAGTGTATAAGTCTAAGTGCTATTGCTAAGTGCTATTGCTATTTGTGGTATTGGGAAAGAGAGCCCACATAAGTGTACTGGGACTCCCCGAGAAAAGATAGAATATAAATGCAATCATGTATTTTAATAACCATTATTAGTAATAAATCAATAGGGTTACCTCTTCTTGCAGAAATCTAACAACTGAGATGCCAATTCCTTCAGATCTTGGATGAAAGACCCAGCAAGAACTGAAAGATTTCTTCAAACTGGACATGGTTTAAGTGACAGGGAGAGGGAATCATTAAATACATAGGTTATACTCATCACTGTGTAATTCTAACATTAATTTAAATGGAAAGCATTGCACACCTGACTCGTAGAACTCAGTTAGAAAGTCTCTTGGGAATCCTTTCAGGATTGAGAATCAGGATGGGTACTGTAATGGTTGAAGTGCTGGGCTAGGACTGGGGACACCCAGGGTCTTTCAGGTGCCCCTCAACCATGGATGACTTTGACCAGTCATCAACTTCCTTTCTGGGGCTGCTTTTCTGGAGAAAAATAGGGGGAAGGGAAGCACGGTGTACCCTTAGGCTTTTGAAGAAAGAACCAATAAATATTAAGCTTACCCATTCAACTGGTGAGTTCTTTCCAGATTAATGGTGGAACCTGAACTATCAAATTCCCGGAAGCTTTTGAAACATCAACATTGGAAGTAATAAAGTAAGGGTCATCTTCTGGCTTCAATTTTAGTGGCTCCGCAATGTTTTAACTTGTTTAATTTCTATTGCAGCAAGCCTTTTATTATTATCATTATTCTTTCAGCCATGGTGATCATTAAAAGGTAGCAAGCAGATGATTTCTGGAGAAGCCATGATTTCTCTCTCTTTCCCTTGTTCCTGTTCTAAACACGCTTCCTAATTGTAGGCGACTTGGACTATGGCTTCAAAAGAAAAAGAAAAGAAGAAAAAAGAAGAAAAGCAAAAAGCAATGAGAGATGAATCTATTTAAACCAGGGTACATAAAACCCATTGATGGTGACTATCCCTACCCCGTTTTTCCAGACTCCTCTGGCCTTATCTCTACCACATTAACATGCATCTGGATTGATTCGTACATGGTGGGGGGTTTATAGTCTCCTCGTGGCTTTTGTCCTCCAGCAGTCCAAGCGCCGGTGCTTTGCCTCGGGAACTGCACCTTCTCTGCCTTCCCACCAAGTTTGTGGAGTAGAATGGAACCGGTTGGGGCTACTCAAGAGTCAGCCTCCTTCCTCCTCGCGTTGGGGGGGGGGGGAACTTCCCGGTTAGCACAGGCACCTCCTATCTGACTTCACCACTTCTTCCGAAGAATGCACCACGTTGGGCACAAAGCCGCTCTTGACCCCTTCCCAGCCCTCCTGGATGCTTATCTCCCCCCTTTTCACGAGTTCATAGATGTCTCGAGTCAGGTCAGTGAAGGCCTTCTCCACGTTAATAGCATCCCGTGCCGAGGTCTCAATGTACTTCATGTCGTAGGCGAGGGCCAGTTTCTCGGCCTCGTGTCGGGTGACTTGCCGCTGCGTGTCCAGGTCGCACTTGTGGCCCACTAAAACAAAGACAATCTGATAAGGCTGGACATGGGCCTTGGTCTCCTCCAGCCACTCATGGACATTCTGGAAGGACCTCCGGTTGGTAATGTCAAAGAGGAGCAGGCCACCGACAGAATTTCTATAGTAGGCTCGCGTAATAGATCTGGAAGAGAGCAAAGACCCAAGAGAGGAGGAAAGGTCATCCAAGGGAATTAAAATGCAAGCACCAAATCATAGCTATTTCTCACCTCGTGGGTATAGATACAAATCGATCCAAAAGATGGCTTCCTGTATGAATAGAATCCAAGCCAGATTCCTCTGGGCTTAGCGTGAGGTTCGGGCCCAGCCACTATGGCAATAAAATGATTTGTGGTTTATATTGTGTATAGAGATCAACCGTGGCTTGTTCAACAAGCTGGTTATACAAGCCCTGGCTTACTATGCTGAGTAAACTCAGCCATTCCAGTTTATATAAATTGCATGCATGGTTTAGCACTGTGATGGCGTTGTGTGGAAACATCACTCGTGCTCATCAGGGCCACACTCCAGGAAAGCCAAACCTCTGAGTTCTGGGGTGCATGTGCACCTGACAATCAGCTGGCCAGGGTGCATGCACAGACCGGTTTTCGGCACTGCCAGGTGGGCAAAGGATAGCTGATCATTGCATTGCACATGCCTGCGCCCCAGAAATCCGAAAGACAGGCAAGGCTGTGCGTGACGGGCAACGTGGCTTCACATGCCACTTTGGCCACACGTGCCATAGGTTCACCATCATGGGTTTAGCATGTTGCACAAATCCAACCAGTTGGTGCTCATTTAACTGATTAATGCTGCATTTCAAAGACTATCGCAGAGAGAATGCACTGTTTTGAAGAACAGTTTCTACAAGGGAATTAGGATAGTCCTCGACTTACAACCTTTATCAAGCTTTCAAAGTTATCATGACACTGAAAAAATGTGACTTACCAGCAATCCTATACTTGCAACCAACATAGCTCCACAGTCAT